AAAAAAAAATATATATATATATATATATATATATATACACACACACAATTTTACAAATAGATTTCTGAGGGAAATGTGCACTTTTTGATGCCTAAAAGCAAAGGTCAGCTAACTTCTGTAAATGGCCAGAGAGTAAATGTTTTAGTGTTTGCAGGCCAAGAGACAGACTCAAGATACCATGTAGGTACTTACATAACAAGAGAGAAAACAAATTTCCACACATTCTTGTTTACAAAAAGTGGCACGATCACTGCTCACTGCAACCTCCACCTCCCAGGTTCAAACAATTCTCCTGACTCAGCCTCCTGAACTGCTGGGATTACAGGTGTGAGCCACCATGCCTGGCCGAGTACAATTTTTATGTGGGTCTACTAATGAGAATGACATAATTCTTTTTTGGGAAATAACATGTCACTTAATGTTAGTGTTTCTTATCATCCAGACTGATTGCAAACATTCATCTATTAATATTGATCTGTAATGAGATTTTACATATTTCTTCTTTGAAAATGTAGATGGGCACTGTCAAATACTGACATGAATCCACGAGCACATGATTTCAATTGATCTTCGAAGGCATTTATATGATTAGAATCTTCTCTTTATATTTGCCTTTTAATGTCATTACATTGCAGATTAATCACTTCTAATTGAGGGTTAGAGGGAAGCTCTTCAATTGCAAAGTTAAATGAATTTTGAAATATAGAACTGTCCTTTTTACTTGCACTAATGTCTGACAAAGTCTGCTGGAACTGTAATTTGAGCTCTGAAAATACATCTGCTGCAAATTTATGTAAAAATAGAGAGTCTTGCTTTTGTTTTACCTTTTGTCAGCACAGGAAGTGTATTAAGCAGGTCAATATCACTTGTGAGTCAAAGTTAGTTGTTGAAATGACTTTATCACAGTGTAAGTTTCACATATAAGCACCATTTTGCCTCATAATTTTAGGTTGAATTCATTAAGAAACAGTATCAGGCCACCAACTTCATTTCTGTACAGACCATGAATTAACAACCATCCAACCTAACAACCACTTTTTTTTTTTTTTTTTTTTTTTTGACAGCGTCTTGCTCTGTTGCCCAGGCTGGAGTGCAGTCGTGCGATCTCAGCTCACTACAACCTCCACCTCCCGGGTTCAAGCGATTCTTCTGCCTCAGCCTCATGAGTAGCTGGGATCACAGGCATGCACCACCATGCCTGGCTAATTTATTTTATTTTTTTTTTTTTTGCATTTTTAGTAGAGACGGGGTTTCACCATGTTGGCCAGGCTGGTCTTGAACTCCTGACCTCAGGTGATCCACCTGCCTTGGCTTCCCAGAGTGCTGGGATTACAGGCGTGAGCCACTGCCCCCATCCAACAACCACTTTTAAAACAAATCCTTAACTATAAACACATATTTTAAAGCACACGGTTTTACAGATGCTGGTGAGAATGGGGAGAAAAGGGAACTCTGATATGCTGTTGGGTAAACTAGTACAGCTGCCATGGAGAATAACATGGAGGTTCCTCAGAAAACTACAAGTAGAACTACTCACATGATCTAGCAATCCCATTACTTAAAATCTATCCAAAGGAAAGGAAATCATTATATCAAAGAGACATCTGCACCTCATGTTTATAGCCGCACTATTCAGAATAGCCAATATGGAACTGACCTGTGTGTCCAACAATAGATGAATGAATAAGGAAAACGTGGTATATGTACACAAGGGAATGCTATTCGGCCATAAAAAAAAAATGAAATCCTGTCATTCACAGCAACTTGGATGGAATTGGAGGATATTAAGTGAAATAAGCCAGGCACAGAAAGGTAAACACCACATGTTCTCAGTCACATGTGGGACCTAGAACACGTTGATCTAATAGAAGTAAAAGGTAGAACAGAGGATGCCAGAAGCTGGGAAGGGGAGGGGAAGGTGGTGATAGGGAGGGATTTGTTAAAGGATTCAAGATTATAGTCAGATGGGAGGACTAAGTACTAGGGTTTCACACCGCTGTAGGGTGACGATAGTTAACAATAATAGACCAGGCACGGTGGCTTATGCCTGTAAACCCAGCACTTTGGGAGGCCAAGGTGGGCAGATTGCCTGAGTTCAGGAGCTTGAGACCAGCCTGGGCAACACGGTGAAACCCCCACTCTACTAAAATACAAAAACTTTGCCGGGCTTGGTGGTGTGCGCCTGTAATCCCAGCTATTTGGGAGGCTGAGGCAGAATTGCTTGACTCAGGAGGTGGAGGTTGCAGTGAGCTGAGATGGCACCATTGCACTCCAGCCTGGGCGACAGAGCAAGACTCCGTCACACACACACAAAATAATAATAGTAATAATACATAGTTTCAAATAGCTGGAGGGAGGATTGAACCTTCCCAACACAAAGAAATAAATATTTGAGATGATGGATATGCTGATTACCCTAATCTGAAATCATTATACATCATACATATGAAACACGACTGTGCACCCTATTAATATGTACAATTATTATTATTTGTCAATTAAAATAATACAACTTAAAAACACATGGTTTTAAACATGATTTTGCATACTCTGAAGCATATATTTTGCATCCTGACATCATGTCATAAGTGAAAAGATAAGTGACTTTCATTATTACTGCT